ATATAAGATGCCAGGAATACAGAGAAACCCTGTCTCAGGGAAGAAAAAAAGATGCCAGGAATATTTGAAGCAGATTGTACATCAAGGTTTGGGGGGGTTGTTTGTTTGTTTGTTTGTTTGTTTGTTTTAGGCAGGGTCTCATTGTAGCCCTGACTGTTCTAGAACTCACTCTGTAGACCAGGCTGACCTCAAACTCAGAGAGATCCTCCTGCGTCTGCCTTGAGTGCTGAGATTAAATGCTGTACTTCCAAACCCAGTTTATACCAAGGTTTGTTCCCTCAACTCCTGACCTATAAGATAATTTCTTTTCTTATTGCATAATAATTTAGTTAGGAATAGGCTAATTAGTTAAAAGTAGGTAGTATGCTAGTTAAAAGACCAGTTTGGCCAGGTGTGGTAGTATATGTTTATAATCTCAGCACTTGGGGAATTGAAGCAAGAAGATGACCACAGATTTGTGGCCATCCATAGTAAGTTCAAGGCCTGCCCTAGGTACAGAGTAAGACCCTATCTCAAACAAACAAGCAAAACTGGACTGGTTTCACTAGTTCTAATTTCATATTCAGAGCCTGTACACAATATGTTTCCATAATGCATCAGTTCTCCATTTCATTATAGCAGAGCACAGATCTCTGTTTTTCAGATAAAATGACAAATGCTTATAAGCTGTGTGAGTTTTGTGTTTCATCCTCCCTACCCTGAATGCTTCTGTCACTCAGTTAACTTACAGAGATTGGGTTCAGCTGGAATTGGAAATTCAACCTGAAGTTGATGTTCTCTCAGATACAGAAAGGTAAGCGCTCAGGGGAGCTGGCCCCTAAAACATCGTCATAGTCTGTTTCATACAGCCATCTTACGTTCAGGTTAACTGGGTCATGTTTGAGCACTTCAGTCATTCATTTCTTTATTGAAAAAACACTGGGTTTCCACCGCATGCCAGACACTTCTAGAATGTCCCAGAAGCTGGGGTTACAAAGTAACTGAGACACACCTACCTATAAGGCACCTTTGTACAGATAATGACAGACGAGGTCTCTGTGGGAACCCTACACCCCCCAGAGCCCATGTTGAGAAAGAATGTGTATTCGGTGCACTTTGGTAAAAGCACAGGTAGACACGATGAATGGTCTGAGGCTACAAGACAGGCCCTGTGAGAGCCAGTGGCCACACTGGGACAGTAGATCGGGCTACTTGCCGTGAGGCAATAGGGGTACGTTGCAGAGCCGGCTCCAAGAAGTGCCTTGATGGGCCCCAGAAACCGAGTACATCTTGACTGGGTTTTTTGTTTGTTTGAGGCCTCATTATAACCTCGCTTTAAAAAAATGACGTATTTATGCTTATGGATGTACCGTGTGTGTGTGTGTGTGTGTGTGTGTGTGTGTGTGTGTGTGTGTGTGACCTACAGAGGCCAGAAGGTGGCAGATCCTTTGGAACTGAAGTTACATGAAGATGTTAGCTGCCATGTCAGTGCTGGGAAGTGAACCTGGATCTTTTGCAAGAGCAGCCAATGCTCTTAACAGCTGAGCCATGGCACCAGCCTCTACAACCTCACTTTTTAACCCCTTGGGTGACTGTTACCTTGAGATGGTATTTAGGCGTGTTTTAGGGATTCTCCCCCGCCCCCTTACACACACAAGGCAAAAACCCCACTGACAAGTCACTCCCAGCCACCCTTCCTGCTGTAATCACACGCCTGATACTTGAATAGATTCTGTGATCTCAGCCCTCATGGGCAGAGTACTGCCCTCCATCTTCCTCACCCACTCCTTCTGGTGTGGATATCTCACTTGTATTTGGCTGTTTCCACTTAGTGGACCACAGTCACCATGTCCTTGAGACCCTTCCCTTCAGCATAGATAGTATGGCTCTCCTTGACCACGGACCTGCAATCCTCAGTCTGGATTCTCAGCTATTTCCCTATTGGGGTGTACATGGTGCAGACCACCGGATAGCTCAGTCCACATCGGCGTGGCTGCCCGCTCCATTGACTGGGTTCGCTGAGATAGTCAGCCGTCACCCTGCAGGATTAACACTGCCTGGGCTTTGGTCCCAGGATTGCCCCTGCGAGGGGCTTTTCCCACAGCACCGGTCCCTTGTCTTGTAGACAAGGAAGACTCCTCACTCCACTCTGAACTCTCAGGCTGCTGATGCTAGCTGCCACTTTGCCCAGTCACTGGAACTGGGTGTTCCTCTTTTTTTTTTGAGAGAGAGAGCTTCTTTGTATAGCAGCCTTAGCTATTCTGGAACTTGATCTGTAGACCAGGCTGGCCTCAAATTTAGCAATCCTCCTGCCTCTGCTGGAATTCCAATCCCAAGTGCTGGGATTAAAGGTGTGTGCCACAGGCCCTGGCCTATGTTCCTCTTATGGAGACCACTTCAGGATGTTAAGGACCCTTGGGCCCCTGGTTGTAGTCTTCCTCAGAACTGACCTCGGTGTTCAACTGTTGCAGACATGACTTCCACCAGTGGGCCATCTATGAGCACTTCTTCCCAGCTCCGTCTGCTTTGGGAGGCTGTGATGGAGACCTGGAAGCAGCGTGCACAGTCCTTGTCAGCGAGCTGATGGACTTCTACCAAAGGTCAGCCACATAGTACTCAAAACCTCCTACTCTGTGCTACTCATATAAGCTCACAGTGTGTCCTCTTCTGTGTGTGTTCACATGTCATCATACAGGTTCACAGTGTGTCCTCTCCTGTGTGTGTTCACGTGTCATCATACAGGTCACAGTGTATCCTCTCCCATGTGGTGTTCACGTGTCAGTGCGACATCACTGTAGGAAGTTCTTTGTTTTGAGACAGGGTCTCACTCAGTAGCCCAGCTGACCTAGAACTCAATCCTCCTGCCTCAGCTTCCTGAGGGTCAGGGTGATAGTTGTAGTGGCGGCACAGCGGAGTGAAAGTGGACTCTGCGGTGAGCAGATGTTGTCTCAGGCCTGCACCAGTGAGTGTGCTGCTCACACTCCAACCCCTGGTTAGGGTCGGGGTTAAGAAACAGAATCACGTGTGGTCTTCTGTTTCTGGCTTATTTCACTGAACAAATGTCGGCAAGGTTCATCCATGTAATAATATTTCATTTCTTTGTGACTGAATAATGCCATTGAACAGTATATATCATCTTTTTAATTCATTCTTCCACTGGTAGACATTTGGGTTGTTTCTGATGTTTGGCTATTGTGAATAACATTGCAACGAACATTTGTGTACAGGTTTTTGTAGAGCCCTGAGTTACTGTATTTCTTGGAGTGGACTTGAGGGATAATAATACTTTTTTTCTTTTCTTTCTTTTTTGTTTTGTTTTGTTTTGTTTTGTTTTGTTTTGTTTTTCGAGACAGGGTTTCTTTGTGTAGCTTTAGAGCCTTTCCCAGAACTCACTTTGTAGACCAGGCTGGCCTCGAACTCACAGAAATCCGCCTGCCTCTGCCTCCTAGGTGCTGGGATTAAAGGCGTGCGCCGCCGCCGCCGCCGCCACCACCACCTGACATCTGCAGAGGTTCTTTTTGAGTGAGTTATTGAGGCTTTACTGTGTGTGAAGTCATACCATTTGTGAATGCACATCATTCACCGTTTTCCTTTCTAGTTTAGAAGCCTCGTATTTCTTTTCTTAGTTGTTCTAGCTAGTATGTGGAATGCAGTTAAAGAGAGGTGGTAGAGAGGACATCTCTGCTGATTTCTGATCTCTTGGTTTTTCAAGAAATGGTCTCTCTGTAACAGTCCTGACTGTCCTGGAACTCGCTCTGTAGACCAGGCTAGCTTTAAACTCACAGAGCTCCGCCTACTTCTTCTTCCTGAGTGCTGGGATTAAAGGTATGCACCATCACTGCCCAACTCTTATTTCTGATCTTAAGGGGAAAGCTTCTAGTCTTTCAGTGTTGAGTGTGACATTAGCTTTAGGTTTTTCACAGATGCCCTGTGTCAAGTTGAGGAAATGCCATTTTGTCTCTAGATTATTGACTCACTCTTTTCATTATCGAGTATAAATTTTGTCAAATACCTTTTCTGTATCTATTGATGTGGTCATATGTCTTTGTTTTTGTGCCATTATTAAGTGTATAAATTATTTTTTGGATGTTAAGCCTCCTAAGATAAATTATACTTGGTTTTGATCTATTTTTCTTCCCTTAAAAAAAAAAAAAGAGGAGTGGATTGTGGTGAGGGTAAGAGGAGGTGCGGGGGGGCAAGGAATGGAAGGAGAGGAGGGAGGGAAAACTGGGGTCAGGATGTAAAATTAATTAATTAAATAGTAATAAAATTTTTAAAAAGGTAGGCGTGTGTGTGTGTGTGTGTGTGTGTGTGTGTGTGTGTGTGTGTGTATGTGTGTATATACACACACATAAATGCAGAAGCCAGAAGAGGGCGTTAGTGAGTTGTTTGCAAGACATCCAGCATGTTACATGGGTGCTAGATCCAAACTTCGGTCCTTAGGATTGCCCAACCAACGTTCTTAACCACTGAACTGTCTCTCCAGACACCCCTCCCCTTTCTTTAGATAAGCTCTTATAATTTAGCCCTGGATAGCCTGGAACTTGCTGTGTCAACCAAACTGGCATCACACTTGCAGTGGTCCTCCTGTCTCTGCCTCTTGAGTGCTGGAGTTACATCATGTGCCCTGCCATTCTTTATACTTGCTGTTTTTGACGGCTGCTACTTTGGTGGTGTTGAGTTTTTGTTGATTGTTTCGCGTTGTCAGTCATGTGCAGACGCTCCGCTGGGGAGGCAGGTGATGGGTGAGCACCACAGAGGTACTGTCAGGCGGTACTGAGCAGGCTTTTGTTTTATTTTCAGTTCAAGGAGTTATAACCACTCACAGGCCTCTGATTTGGTTCTTGGTGGCCGCACAGGAAATGAGGATATTCTTTTGAGGCTACAGGTGAGTTGGAAGACAACAGGACTCGGTGTGTTTGTTGCAGCAAGCCTGTTCTTGGTCGAGGTATTTATGACCAGTTTGCATAATGGTGACTAACTCAACAGGACGGAGGGGAACCTTGCATCATCCCCACCAGGTTAGACCTAGAGCAGCAGTGCGCTCTGAATCTACTCCACGGGTGAGCATCACAAAACCCAGACACACAGCTGCGACGTCGGAACTGTCTGCAGGCTTTGGAACATACAACTTAGACGGCAAAGCTGCTGTTGCTGCTGCACACCCTTCTTCTTCTTCTTCTTCTTCTCCTCCTCCTCCTCTTCCTCCTTCTTCTTCATTACTGCTTCTTTAGCAGAGGAAAAGAGCACATGGCGTTTTCATGGGGTCCCAGAATGAATGGGAGAGTGCAGCGGTGTGCTGATGTTCCACACACTGTGTCTCTCAGTTCATAGCTTCTAAGGTAGCCTATTTCCAAGTCCTGCATGGCTGACTGCCCTTGGGAGCTGTCTTCTGTCACTGTGGCACAATAACCGAGGAAAAGGAGCAAAGCTTTGCCTCCTGATTTCAATCCCTTGCCCTCATCGCCGTGGTCCTGTGGTCAGCGCAGCACAGCAGGGGGAGTGTGGGACACCAAAGCTCTTTATCTCATAGCATCCAAGAAGCAGAGAGCAAGCGCCTGGGGACACGGTAGATTCTTCAGTAGGTTCCTCTCCCCAGGCCCTACCTCTTACATGTCCAACCACTGCCCAGTAGACCATTTAGATATGTCTCCAACAGTAGATGGGTCAGAGCCCTCAGGAGCCACTCACTCCTGAACACGGTGCATTGGGGGCAGGGGAGTGCCATGCTTTCAGCACTGGCCTTTAGAGGACATCTTAGATCCAAACCATTCTTCAAGGGTCTGAATTCAGAAATGTGGACAATTAAAGAGCTCTGTAGGTGGTGAGTGCCGAGGACATTCTACAGAATAAGAGATCCAAAGCGCCTGGCCCTTCATCTTGACCATTGTCCTCACCATACATCTTTCTCAGATGTCAAAGGACAACCTGAGAGATAACCTTGCCTGCTTGTGGTTTTTAGGGTCACACAACAGGCCGTGAGAGGTGTCAAGCATATTATTTCTGTTAAGTAGATAGGATACACCTCCACACCATCAGGCATCAGACATTGCCTATTGTCGTGTGTTGGGTCCCTACCCATTCCTCCCCAGCAACAGGGCCTCTTCCTTCACTCCTCAGGCCTACCTCTTCCCTCTCACAGTCCTCCTTAAAAGACAGTGGCTGCTTCCTCTGACACCTTGTCTTCCTCAGAGAGTGACAAACTGCAGCCTCGGTGACACTCTGTGAAAGCATCCAGTGGTAGCATATCCGCAAGACATACAATGTTGCTGATGGGAGTGCTCAGATCTGGCCCCTGTAGCCCCTTTATGAAATGGATGCTGAGGATGCAGGATGAAACTAAGATGAATGACAAAGATACAGCGAACCCGACACCATGGCTTAGGCTTCGTGTTTTCTGTTGATGACTTGGCTCCCAGGTTAGAGAGAGGAAATCGGTCCTATTCCTGGATTTGCCGTCTTGTATATACAAGACGAAAATGTAGGCCCAAAGTGGAATTCACATTTGTTTGGGGCACATGGATCATCCTTTGGTGTTTAAAAACGTCACATTTGTTCTCTTGAAAAATATGTTAAAAAAAAAAAAACATGCAGGGGTCTAAGGAGCTGTGACAGCAAAACGTTGGCCCGACACCAGCCTAGACTCTCCACTGGGGGCAGACAGGTGTAGCTGTGCTCTGCTAGTGGGGGTGGTGATGGGCCATGAGAGACTGACTCCAGCCTTGAAGAATGCATACAAGGGCCTGCTGGGGGCACAAAAATCACCTTCAGCTCAGTCCTGCACGGGTGTCTACCTGTCTGCGCAGCGGAGAGTCATGAAAAGGCAGAGTGCAGCCACGGTGACTGTGAAGTGTGATCGGTATTCCTTGCACTCTTTTATTTTTGCAATTTAAAATTTGTTTTGTTTCTGTGGGGTTGGGGACTCGAACCTAGAGCCGTGTACACCCCGGGCAAGTGGTCTCCCCCAGGCAGGCCCCTGATTGTGCAGTCCTCTTGCTCAGTTTCCCAGTAGTTGAGCTGCCAGATCTGGCTAAAAATGGTTTTCACATGGGAAAGCTTGTGTTCTTGCCCCTCCTCACTCCCCATCCCTGTGGAGATAACCCTCCAAGCTCATCTCTCAGGGTCCCCAACTAAGGTCCACAGTGAGCCCTGAGAACTTTCCTGCCCTGACTCATGTTTGGGGACAGCTCAGAGATAGAGAGGATGGACGTGTGCCTGGGTCTGCTCTTTTCCAGGAGATGGCTGCGGACCTGGAGCTGGATCAAGGCTCTTCTGTCTCCTATGGCTGTTCAACTTCTCAGACTCACATTCTCTTCCGGGTGTTCAGAAGACGACTCCAAGCTTTGGCAGGCGGGGACAGCATGGCTACTAGCCTTCGGAGACAGCGAGAGCTGCTCCTGTGCAAACGGTAACAGACATCACCGTGCCTCTCATGTGCCAGTGTCTGCCTCTAGCTTCCATACTAATGGCTTGTATTATGTCTACCACAACCTTGGAAAGGTTTGAACATCCTGGTGGCTCCCATAGGAACAGGTGTGACAGTGCAAAAGATGCTTTGGGTTCAAGTCTTTCTACTCAGACTCGAGACCCTCTGCTGAAGGATGTACTATAAAGAACACTTGGTTGTTTTAAGAACACATTTTTTTTTTAAGTCCATTTTTTCATAATAGAATCCTCCAGTTAAGGATTGCTTCCTTAGATAGTGGTGCATCCATCTACATGGTTGTTGAATTTTTATTTATTTATATTTTTTGAAGCATATTTGGGGTATCTGCAGTGACTAAGCGGGAATTAAAAGCTGGGGACAAAGACAGCTTTGTGTGTAGAACACATAAGGAAGCCAGGGCTGTGGTTCAAGTAGCATCGCTCCATCTGGAAAGTACTGTGCAACAAAGGTTCAGCCAGGGAAAGGGCAGCCAGGGAAAGGGCACCCTGTTTGTCTGTCTGTCTGTCTTCACCATGATGCACCCCCTTCTTCCCAAGGCTTCTCCTCCGCCTGCCTCCATCTGTTCTTCTGGGCAGTCCCCAGGCCAGACAACCTGTCCCCCCCAGCTGTGAGGAGTTCTTTAGCCTGGTCAGCTCTGAGTTGGTATGTGCAAGTGCTCTGGGCTGGCCTTTCACCTCTCTGTGTTGGTTTTATGCTGACTTTGAACTGTTTTACAGAGAAACCTCTGTTGCCATGGCAGTGTCCTGACCCGTGACATCACCATCCACTTCTTCAGGGTAATCTAGTGCCTCTTTTGTAACTCTGTTTGGTTGTCTAGGTAGTGCCCTTCAGGGCCAGGGTTCCCATGGGCACCTGCATTGGCAAACTGCTGAGCTTCAGTGTATTCTTGCTACAGGGACTCCTTAATGTGTGTTTTCGAAGTCAAGACCCAGCATTGGTGGCCAACCTGATCCTAACAGAGTGCCAGACCAAATGTCCCATGATTTTGACCTCAGCACTGGTAGGTCTGGCATGTTGGGTTTTTAAAATTACATTTATCTCCTTCCCCCACACCAATCTCTCTGTATGTGTATGCATGCACAGAGGTCAAAGAGCAACCTGTGGGACGTCAGTTCTTTCTTCCCACTGTACGGGACCCTAGGATTGAACTCGGGTCATCGTTGGCAAGAAGCCCCTTTTCCTATTGAGACACCTCACAGTCCCTTGTCTTCATATTTTTCCAAGAGTTGGGATTCACTGTTCAGTGTCCCTCCCTGGTTGTTAGGATTCACAAGACATTTAAGGAGAAAGAAAGTAGCTAGAGGGGTTGGAACGATGACTCGGTGGTTGAAAGCGTTGTCTGCTCTTCCAGAGGATTCAGGCTTGATTCCCAGCATCCACACGGTAGCTCACCATTCATTTATCAAGGGATCCTTCTGACCTCTACAGGAACAAGATTGTGCCCATATATGATACATACACATACATGCAGGCCAAACGTTCATAAGATAAAAATATATTTAAAAGAATAAGGGTAGCGGGAGGAAAGGGGGAATCTGTGGTTGGTATGTAAAATGAATAGAAAAATCTCTTAATAATAAAAAACAGGTGGAGCACACCGGCTCCTAGAAGACATTGTCGGTTCTTCATGCTGTCACCACCCACTATTTCCCCCTCTCACGAAGTCCTGTACCAACCACCACACACTGGAGGCTCCGTGTTGGCTGGTGTGCACCAAAGCGCAGCCGACATCTGCAGATGTGAAATGATTGGTACCCTGGTGCCTCCATCTGGTTCGTTATTCTAACCAGAGGGAAGGTGGGCAGGTCAAGCGATGGCCGGCTTCGGTTCAGTTTGTAGCCCATTGAGTGGAGTTTACAGTAGCTCTCGGCATGGCATATCTGAGGAGCGAGTCAACCAGCTCAATTCCAACATTACAGGGTATTTCCTCATACAGTGCTCTCCCTTCAAGCCTTGTCCCTGAGACTAAGAATGCCTCATGAACTGGGTATGATGGCCCACACCTTTAATCCCAGCACTTGGGAGGCAGAGGCAGGTGGATCTCCGTGAGTTCGAGGCCAGCCTGGTCTACATAGTGAGTTCCAGGACAGCCAAGGCTACACAGAGAATCCCTGTCTCAAAAAAAACAAAAAAGTTACACAGCAGTACAACATGAGCTGTGTGGAGCTCTCGGGAGTTCCTAGCTAGTCAGCTGTTAAGTGTCTAGATGTTGGCAGCATATCTCTCATAGCAGTCCAAAGATAACCTCCCTAATCTGTTTTTTGGTGATCTTTCACTTCCCATAGTTCTGGTGGTCAAGCCTGGAGCCGGTGCTGTGTAGTCGGTGGAAATGTCATCAGAGCACACTACCTCGAGAGCTGCAGAGGCTACAGGAGGCCCAGGAGTTCGCCAGCAAGTAAGCTGAAGCAGTGTCCGGCGGGAGCCCAGCTGCTCCTTGGACCAGGCTGTGTCATGGCCGTCCCGAGGACTGGGGTACTGCTTCTGAGTGGAAGCTGCTTGGGTGTTCATGAAGACGGCTTTCATCAGGTCTCGTTCCAGCTCAGCTCTCCTACATCCTGGCCCTGGACTCTGGTCTTATGTTTATTTAGCTGTACAGGGTGCCCCAGAGCCCCACCGCGAGCAGCCCTGGGGAACAGGTGCCTCCATCTGGTTCATTGTTCTAACCAGAGGGAAGGTGGGCACTGGGGAACAGGATAGGGCAGGGAGCAGATTCTCAGGTCTTCCCTCACCTAAGGGCCCTGTCAGATTTCTGGCAGTCCTGGCTGGCCTGACTTCATGAGAACCAAGTTCCCGTGGCATCGAGGGAATCTTTCTCGAGGACTTCCTTCGGGTAGCGAGTTTTGAATCCATGCTGCCTGTGTCCTCCCGTCAGGAGTACTCCAGAACCTGCTCAGCAAACAATGCAGGCCTTGCTAGCAACCCTGACTCTAGACACCACATTACTCCTTTGATTCCTACACTGTATGGCATTAGTGCATCTGCCAAACTCACCCTGACAGAAGCTAAGGTATCACATTAGTAATAAAGTTAGACTTGCTTGGGCTAGCCCAGTCACAGGCCCACACGGACAACCAAGAAATGCTGATCTCAGTGGTACTACAGCCTCTTCCTTCAAAGCTCTCGGGCCTCAGTATCTCATTGTGAGGTGGACAGGACTAAGCCGGTACCCCTCAGAATGCTCTATCATCTGCCTTATGTATAAGGCTGGCCCCAACCTCCCAGGTCCTCCCTGAGTAGACAAACGGTTGACACAAGCTTCATTTGTAGTGACTCTGGGGCCCCTTTGCTGAACACAAAGCTGTTTGGTGGCCAGGGGCATGACAAATAGGTGATATTTCTTTGTGTCAGCTTCCTCTCTGACTCAGCTCCCCCGGCACCCAGCCCGGCCTGGATCTCCGCTGCTGCACTGCACTTTGCAACTCGAGAAGTGAGCAAGGGAAATGTCAAGACCCATCTGAACAGGCTAGACGGCGAGAGAAAGGAGGTAAGGTCGAAATTTCAGTCATTTCTTTAGTGAGGTATGCCTAATGGCTTTCCTTCTCCAAGAAAAACATTAAAGGGGGAGTTGTCGCTATTTCAGCGTAAAACTAGCTAAGTTTTTCAGCAAGCCTTTCGAGTTTATTGGTAAAGTGCTTTACGTTTCTTTTGGAAGTGTTTTGGTCGGGCTTGTTCTTGCTGCACTGCAGCCACCAGCCACCAGCCACCAGCCAGCGTCTGCACCTCCCATATTTCTGTGCCCATAACTGTGACTTGTGCTGCAGGGCACTCACAGATGATGACGGGGCTGTAGCTATGCTCTGCACGGGTACCAGGAGGAATTGTTCCAACTTCTAAGTGGAGGGACCGTCAGGACTTGGGCACTGGGCCCTAGAGAGAGAGCTCTACCTACCTAGTGCCCTCTAATCAGAACTCACATGAGCTCCAAGGAAACTAAGGGCATGTGTAGGCCAAGATTTCTTCTTGGGGGTTCAGAGAAAACAGGAACCAGCGTCTGAGGAGGAAGCTGGGAAGTAGGCCATGTTCTAGACCCCATCACCCCTAAAGGCAGAACTTCTGCGGCTCCTCATGTTGTGCCCTCATAACTAATCCAGATCAATAGTGGAGCCAGGGGCTGGAGAGATGGCTCAGAGGTTAAGAGCACTGACCGCTCTTCCAGAGGTCCTGAGTTCAATTCCCAGCAACCACATGGTGGCTCACAACCATCTGTGATGAGATCTGGTACCCTCTTCTGGTCATACATGCTGTATACAAAATAAACAAATAAATCTTTAAAAAAAAAATAGTGGAACCAAATGTCTCGCTATAATATAAAAACCCTAGAAGGATTCCTTCAATCCCATTTTTTCTATTGCTTTTGAATTTTTAGAAGTAATGATAGTGGCTTCAGAACCATATAGTAGGAGAGAACTGACTCCCATAGGTTGTCCTCTGACCTCTGCATGCAGACATGCACCAACAAAATGTCATAAAAATTGTTTTAAATGACCCTATAAGCCATAATCTATTCCAACAAAAGCTCCTAAATGATAGAAAGCCTGGAATGGAGGTTCATACTAGCAATCACAACACTTGGAAGACGGAAACAGGAAGACTGTTGGAATGAATGGGAGGCTACCCTGGACTACAGTGAGATCCTGTCTCCACAAACAGTGCATTAGAATTTCCCCTCCTGAGATCTACTTACAGACCTTGAGCTGTAGCCATGGGTCTCCCTCATCCTAGAGGGGCTGTGTGTGACTTTCATGTGGTAACTGTTTGCCTCCTAGCTACTCCTCTCCCTCCTCTTCTTTTCCCTGATGAGCCTACTCTCGTCCTACCTGACCCAACAGGTAAGTCAGACTTTTCCCTGAAGAGGCACTTTCCCCAATCCTGGGCTGGGCAGAGGTGCTCACAAGGTAGGCTGCAGGTCCACTTCAGACCTCTGGGTGTCGGACTGTTTCTAGTTTGGGCTTCCTCTCACCATCTTGCTCCAGAGCTTGGTGCAGCCCTGTGGTATGTGTGGACGTATCATCTAAAAAGCCCAGGGCAGCGCCTTTATCAAGGTTGTGTCACCAGTTCAGACCTTGGAGAGTTAAAAAAACCCACCCCGAATCCACATGAACACAGTGGCTCCTGTCCACCCCGCACAAAGGTTAGCTCTCCCTACTCAGCTCTTCTGAGGGTTCTCCTGTGGACCACAGGACACAGCTGAGTATCTGAAAGCCATGGACATCTGTGCCGAGGTCCTCATGTGCTTGGGAAGAAGGAAGGTTTCCTGGCTGGTGCTCTTCCAGTTAACAGAGGCAGGTGAGAAGCCATGGGTCCCTGGAGTAGTGTGGGAAAGCTGCCTCTACCCGAGATGAGACAGACATGGATGGATGAGCTACCGTGACGACCTTGTCATTCTTCAGAACAACTTTCCCGCAGTTACAAGCAAGCCTTGGGGTCAACTTGTATGGGTTTAACTTACTGAGTTAAACCTTACTTCATTTGGGTACTAATTCAGGATGTACCCATTTAAAGCAACAGAAGAGTCGACTGGGACACTCAAAGGTCCAGTGTTGCTGGTTTGGAATGGTCTACCCACAGGCACACTGTAGGGGAGCAGTGGGAGAGGGTACTTGTTCAACCCCTAGTCTCTGTTCTCCCGCGTGAGCCTATCACCCCCATTTTCCCAGACCAAGGGAAAAGTGACCCTCTTTCCTAGCAGCTCTTAACAGATGTCCTCAGTGTAGACCACAAGCCCCTGGATGTCACCACAGCTAGTCAGAACCCTCCCAGAGCACATGCCATTTTGGAGTCATCGCACAGCACTGACAAGGGTTCAAGAACCTAGAGAACTGACTGAACTCCTCGATTTTGCAGATGCCGAGCTGGGGCACCTCCTCCACTTGGCCCCAGATCAGCACACCAAGCTGCTCCCGCTTGCTTTCTACAGGTAACTCCTGCTAGTCCGTGGTGAGGAGCCCAGCCTGGTGGTGCCTGGCAGTGTCACAGGAAGAGGCACCTGTTTCCCCAGCCTCCCACCGGGTGGGAGAAGTGGCTTGTCAGTTTGTTCCACAGATACAGTGTGTAGTTTCTGAGCTGACTGCTACCTACCTCAGGATCTTCACGTCCTTTACCATTCTGTCTTCACCTGCAGTCTCCTCTCCTACTTCAGTGAAGATGCCATCACCAAGGAAGAGGCTTTCCTATATGTTGCTGTCGACATGTACCTCAAGCTGATGCAGCTCTTTGTGGATGGGGAAACCAGGACTGTGTTACCTCAGGCCGGCAAAAGCTTGAAGCTCCAAGGCCACGCCCTGCTCCAGGTAAGCTCCCCCAGCCTGTGAGGCAACCGTTCTTAGGGACAGCAGTTGAGATGTGCTAGTACCAATTCAGTGTGCCTGACCCACGGCTTCCTGTTTCTGTTCTAGGGTAGCCCTGTACAACTGATAACGGAAGCACGAATTTTTCTGCTGCAGCTAATACCTCAGTACCCTAAACAGAGCCTCTCCAACATGACAGAGGTAACAAACCCAGAGAGATCCTCGGGCTGACTTCACAACTTAGGTACAACGAGAAGTCATAGCCCGTGACACTTGAGATGGTAGTTGCGCGACGCACACGCACACGCACACGCACACACACACACACACACACCCATCAGACTGGCAGCACAACTCAAGTGTCTCCTAGTTCTTGATCTGCACACAACTCACTCGGCTCTCCTGAGAGGCTGTGGGCACTAAGCAGTGTATTTTCTCGTAGCTGCTGGCTGGTCGAGGAGACTATGACCCTGAGATGAGCAACGCTCTCCTGCAAAGGCAGCAGACCGGGCCCAGCTTTGATCTCTACCAGGAGCCTCATCTGTTCTGACCGTACCCACCTCAGTGCACCAGCCGGCACCTTTGTGAATAATTTATTGCAAGCATAACATGGAGCTCTTGTTACACTAGAAAGTAGATTACAAATCTCCTTGATTGCTCTAGTTAGGAAAAAAATTAATTATTCATAATTTGTGTCTGGCCTTAAATTGCTCACTGTCCATAGGAAAATAAACTGCTGGTACCACAGCAGGCTGAAGTACACACCAAGCCCACCTCCCTCACCCTGAGAGAGGTGCCCTCCAACATAAGGCTGCTGGATGTGAGGTGGAGTACAGCGAGGGGTCCACAGAGCAGGCGGAACTCTGCCAGCAGGGCAGTGAGGCACAGGAATGTCTTCACACCTCACATCACACCTGCTGAGTTCAGTCGGCTCAACATGCTCAGTGTTCCGCCTGCAGTTCTCAGGTAGGCTCAGGCTTCACAGCTTGACCCTCCATGGTCCCAGAGAGGCTCAGGGGCCCAGGCGGGGGCTCTGCTTCCAAAGGCAGGGCTTTGTCCTGGGTCTGGGTCAGAGGATGTACCATGGACATATGCACGTTGAGATTGTGGGCCTTTTCAAACCGCCGGCCGCACTGGTCACAGGCGAAGTCCAGCTCAGTCTCTGCTTTGTGTTTGGTCATATGGTACTTGAGGGATGCTCGTTGCCTGCACTGGAACCCACAGACCTCACACCTGGGGGGCAGAGGCAGGTGAAGTAAGCTGTGCCTTGTCCCAGGCATAGGAAGTGCCCAGCCCACACTTACTGCAGTGGCTTGGCTCCTGAGTGACGCATCTGGTGGACAAGAAGGTGCTTCCGCTGCTTGAAGGTCTGCCCACATTCGTCACAGATGTAATTGCGTACCTCTGCAAGACCAGAGGGGTTGTGAGCAGCTATCTCAAATCTGCTCCAAGACGGGTGACAGTTATTACTGCTTTATATAACACAAGGATGTGTCCAAGCAAGAACCTTTGAGAACCAAATATTATTTAAAATGAAAGATAATTCTGTACTCACTCCTAAGTGGATACTAAATAAAAAGCAAAGAACAATCAGACTGCAACCCACAGAACCAGGGAGGCTACATAGCAGGGGAGACCCTAGGATGACTGTGGCTTATAATAAGTTTTGGTTTTACTCAATTACCGGGCAAGCCTCAGGGAAACATTTCACTATTAGGATAAGAATTTGTACTGTATCAAGCTGATAATTTATTTTTCTATTAATTAAAAAAAAGAGATAATTCTGATACAAAGAACTTCACTAATAAATGTTTCTAATACAAAGCAGTTTGTTAATTTATAAATTCCTTAAAGCACTGTTACATGGCTAGGTTTTGCCACAGAGATTGTGTGCATTTGAAGCTTGTTTTTTTTTTTTTTCAAGAGAGGGTTTCTCTGTGTAGCCTTGGTTGTCCTAGAACTTGTTCTATAAATCAGGTTGTCTTTGAACTCACAGAGATCCACCTGAGTCTGCCTCCCAAGGGCTGGGATTGTAGGTGTGCACCACCACCGCCCAGCTTGTTTGTTTTAGAGAGATCATTTTACTATGTAGCCCTGGTGGCCCACATAGAGAATTCATAAAGAAATATGTGCACTACCATGTCCAGCCTGAAGCTCCTTTCCCAAAATAAAAGAGATGGCTTTAGGGGGCACAGACCTTTAGAGAAATTACTCTCTGGAAGTCTTCCCAAAGTAAAGACCTAAACAATGGAGATAAGATCACTGGTGGAAGTAAAATGGTTCAATACACTTGGAAACTTAGCCACATCACATGTATATCACAGTCTCAGTGCTCAGCAAGGTCATCCTCTGCTGTATATCAAATGTGAGGCCAGCCTGAACTACATGAAACTCTGTTTCAAATAAACAAAAAAACCAAGGACCATCGAGAAGGCTCAGCAGGTAAAGTCTCTTTCTGCCAAAACTGATGACCTGAATCCAACCCAGATCCCACGTGGTAGGAGAACCTATTTCTACAAACTGTCTTCTGACCTCCACGTGTGTACCAAGTGCACAAGTACTTTTTTTCTTTTTTCAACTATAGCCATAACAGTACTATGCACTAATTCTACTTGTTCCAACCCATCCTGCCTACACTGGTGTTTAATCTGGGATTAAAGGCGTACACCACCACCACCACCACCTGGTACTCTAGTGTTAATTTTTTTTTTAATTTACTTAATTTTTATTTTATGTACATTGGTGTGAACGTGTTAGATTCCCTGGAACTGAGTTACAGACAGGTGAGCTGCCATGTGGTTGCTAGGAATTGAACCCAGGTCCATCTGGAAGGGCAGCCAGTGCACTTAACAACTGAGCCATCTCTCCAGCCCTCTAGGGTTAATTTTTAAAGGTGGTGAGTTCACAGAAGTACCAGAGTTTCTATGCTATCAATTCTGAGAAGTTGCTCGAACCTTGCAGGGGGAAAAAGTTGCCTCCCTCAGGAATGCAACAGATGATTCAGAACCCATGTGACATAGAAGTAGCTGATATCAAGCTCTGGGAGCCACTTGGGCACTACCTGCTTCTAGGGGGTGTGTCCCTCTGTCTGTGCACCTGAGATCCACTGACAGCCAAACCAGAGCTCACAAGGCACAGCCTGAGGCAGATACCTGTGTGGATGAGCTTCACATGTCGCTGCAGGTATCGGTCGATCATGAATACCTTGTTGCAGCCAGGATGTGGGCAGGGCCTCTCCCGGACCTCCTCATGGTGCTCCTTAATGTGCTTCTAGGGGAAGAAGGGATAAGAGACCCTGGTGTTTAATCTGGGCACATCCTGCCTCCCAGGAGATGCTGTGTAGTGGTCCCAGCATGTAACAACTGACTATTGGAAAGAGACAACTACTTCCTACCCTATACCACTGGTTTTAGAGCAAGGGGCTGTCTCCACATCCACTAGGATCCTATGAGCCCTTGGGAAGTTTGTACTTGGCTTTACACAAATGCCTGGTGCCTTCAGCAGATTCTTACTAACACCCATGACAACTCAGTCAAGCACACCCAGACCTGAAAGCAACCCTTACTGAAGGTGATGCCCATTCCTTACCTTCATGCCATCAGCCCCACGGTATACAGCTGTGCAGCCCTGGTAAGGACACTTATAGATGGTGGGCAGCTCCTCCCTGTAAGGCAAAGCACACGTGGAGGTGCTGACCCAACATGCAAATGCCCCCCACTGCAGCCCGCTTACCTCTCACATCGGAGCTTTTTCTTCCAGCCAGGCTTGGGCCCAGGCTTCTTCCTGACTTTGGGCTCTTCAGCCTTCTTGGCTTCTTTGTTTTCACTCTTCTTACCAGAGACTCTAGAAGGGGTAAAGAAAACAATCTAGTCATGTTTATCTCTGTCTGCAAATGATTCTTGTCTCTTTCTGCATGTCCAGTTTTCTTCAAGGTCTCATCTACCATTAGTCTCCAGGCAGGACAACCCTGAGAGGGTTACAAGTCTGAAGCAGTTACCTTGGGAGGGCGTGCAGAACAGATGGTAGCATGGAGCACACATACTATCACATTATGCAGTTTCAGAATTCAAGTTGTGTGCTAAGAACCCAAATCAAGAAATGGAGATATGGAAAATAGTAGAGAATTCTAAGTGTCAGTCATGTCTCCAGATGATCAAATGTTAGAAAGGGGCTCAGCATTCCCGACCACTGGATTTGAGATTCTGTCAGGCAACCAGCAGCCTGGGGCATATCTTTAGTCCCAAATTAGTTATATTTCATACACTAACAACAAGTAGTTCAAAAAGGAAACTAAGAAAACAATTCATGTTCAATAACATCCAAAAGGATAGGCCAGGTGGTGGCATACACCTTTAATCCCAGCACTCGGGAGGCAGAGGCAGCCAGATCTCTGTGGGTTCCAGGCCAGCCTGGTCTACAGAGTGAGTTCCAGGAAGCCAGGGCTACACAGAGAAATCCTATCCCAAAAAACAAACCGCCAGAAGCTAAAAGGCCCGCATGATGGTGCCTGCCTGACATCTCAGCTGCTCAGGGCCGACACAAGCATGGCTTGGGCTGCACACTGGATTATAGCAGACAGCACACCAAGACCTCCTCTCAAACAAGCCGCCAGCTTCTGAGTGGGAAGTGTAGCTTTATTTTATATGTATGGGTACTCTACCTGCATGTGTGTCTATGCTCTACACTGCCTGGGGAGGCCAGAAGAGGGTGTCAGATCCTCTGGAACTAGAATTACAGACTTGATAGCTGCCACATGGGTGCTGGGAACCAAACTAGGTCCTCTACAAAAGCAACAAGTACACTTGACTGCTGAGCCATCGCTCCAGACCCAAAATATATTTAATCAATTTAATCAATAACAGAAGACAAACCAGGTTGTGCAGGCCTGAAATCCCAGCCAATCAAGAGGCTGAAGCAAGAGGATCACAAAGTAAACGCTGGCCTGAGCCACAGAGACACTACCCAAAAATACAAACCTTTAAAGGCAAAGGCAGGCGGATCTCTGAGTTTGAGGCCAGCCTGGTCTACAAAGTAAGTTCCAGGACAGCCAGAGCTAAACAGAAACCTTTTCTCAAAATACTAAAATAAAGTAAATATATAAATAAAAACAAAGGTTTAAAAAAACGTGTGGTGAAACAGTTCAGTAAAGCACTTAACCTAGTTTGTGCATTCCTCAAAGTAAATAAAAATCAATACACAAAACCCAGTTAGTTTATTATTTATTTATTGACAGTGCTTTAGATCTAGCCCTATCTTTCTGGGATTTTGCATCCCCTAGAGAGAATGAGATACTTAGGAATAAAATTGACCAGAGAGCTAGGCGGTGGTGGCGGTGGTAGCAGCGGTGCACGTCTTTAATCCCAGCACTCGAGAGGCAGAGGCAATCTCTGAGTTTGAGGACAGCCTGGTCTACAGAGCAGAGCAAGTTCCAGGACAGCCAAGGGTACACAGAGAAACCCT